GATGGTTCATCTTAAAATAAAATCAAGAATATCGTGTTTAATGGCCTTATTTGTAACCTCTGGATAAGGAAATTGACTAATAAAAACATTTCTGATTTGCAGTACCTTTACACAACATTAATAACACATTAAACCTTTTTAATATAAACTGCATTATTTCCTTATCCCAAATTGGATGATAGCTATCTTATATTTTAAGGAGCTATGATAGTCATACAAAGAATAACAAGGACATTTTTATTATAAATGTTTAGATACTATGACCTTATGATTTTGCATCTTTGGAAACATGTGATAGTCACAGTAAACATTTTCAAAGCACTTTAATTTCCTGAAGTACTATCAGAAAAAAAAGAGATATTGTCTTTGATTTTACTTAGTTTAAAATGTGGAAGCAGAAAAGCTCATCAAAATATTGACTTAGAGGCCCTTTGGGAGTTGCTGATAACTTTTTTTGCATCAGCTTCCACAGGTCGCCAAACACCAAGAAATTAAACCAACCACTTGGAGCCAGTTAGTTGTCTAGAACATTATGATTCACTTGGCTGAATAGATGGAAGAAAAAATTCAAATCCCATCTCCAGGAACCATGATAGTCCCTTAGGTGAACCCTTCCTTAGGACAGTGAGCTAAGATGCCTGGATTCTTTTCTATTTCAGTTTTACCATAGATAAGAGTGATGTCACACTCTTCTTGGAGGAGGAGGATGGCATGTGGCATAGCACGAAAGGAGACATGGTGGTATACCAGGGAGGGACTCATTTCCTTTGAAAGAGAATATTAATAAACACTTCACACTCCCTGTAAACTGAGTATTGGTCTAATTATATATATACACATATAAATGTATGTGTATAATATATATTTATTATACACATGTATGTACATATATACATTATATACATTTATATATAATTAATTAAATATATATGTATATTATATATATTTAATTCTCACAACAGCCACATAAAGTATGTACCATTCTGTAGCCCTCATTTAAACTATACCTGCAAAAGGCCAAGTAACCAGCCTTTCACAGAATAACTAGCTTTGGCATCCATGCCCTAGCCAGTACTAAGTTATTATTGTACTAAAATATCAAAATTGTCAGTAAACTATAATTACAGTTTGGGTATTTGTGAATATAATGACAATTCTAGTATTTTTTTCATAGTTTGGTTATGTAAACTTGGTTGAGGGTGTGAAGTGAATGGAAAACTGAGAATGGAGGTAGGCTGTGAAATTATAATTAAAATCCACTGTTTCTTGATGTCTAAACTCAAGAGTCATTTGAGCAGATTTGTACTGTAGATCCCAATGGGGCCAACAGTTGAATTATCCAAGAATCTAACAATTGTTCCAAAAATAAATGACTCCGGGTAGAGATCACACTAACTAGGTTTGACATAAAATAAATACTTATATCCTTTTTATTGTTGTGCTTATAGTCAGTTGTTACATAAGTGTTATTTTTAATAGATGGATGAAATTTACCATTTGTAGTGGTTTATATTCACATCCAAAGAAAAACCACTAGAGGTGGTTTGCAACAGATTAAAACCTTTTGATTGAAACAAAATCTGCTAGAAAAAGCAATCTCTTCCCTTGTGATTATAAAGGGAAAGTAATAATACGTGTGGAACAAGTCAACACAAACTAAACTTTCATATGTGACTTTTTAATTTGCAGAATAAGTGAAAGCACTTGATTGGTAAGAACAGGAAAGTCAGAAAGTCTGGAGGATACTGTACTACCTTTTATTGTTAAATGGCCATTCTAGCCATTAGAGTGGCTCACCTCTACTGGCCCAAAAGCCTTCCCTTCTATATTTTAGTAATGAGCTAATACTCATGGTCATAATCCATAACCACTTGCCCCTGTGTAGCCAGAAAAGGAAGGGCAGCCTCTTCTTGTTGCTACTAATTACTCTTTGCTATTACCATATTAAACCACATTCAATTATACTTAATCTCTTTCTCAACCAAGGAAATGTGTCAGTATACAAAATGTAAATCAATGGTTACCTGTTTATTCCTGGTATATAATCCTCACTTTTCATTAGTCCTATCCACTGTCATTTCTTTATCTTAAACTCTCTGGCAAATAAATATTTTTTGCTCCTCTCAAGCTCTATGAAAGGCAAAAAGTAACATATGGTAAAAGAGCAATTTGGAAAAAGTGAAGAAGTCAATGGGATGCATCCTAACATGCATATCAATTTAACCTCTATTAAATTGGTACAGGGTAAGTAATTTTTACAAACTGAAAGGTAAACCTCACTATTTATGTAAGAAATTGCCAGCTTTAAGACTTTTTCCCCCAAGTCCTCAACATAATACTTGAGAAACTATACTTAAAATTTCTTGACTAAGATATGGGAAAAACAATCTCAAAATTCCAGTTGCCACAACTCGTCACTGTGCCCAAATCCAACACACCCAGGGCTTTAGAACCAAAGGAACACTATTCCAGAGTATTTCCATAATGGAATGTTAACACTGCCTTCTAAGATACTTTATTAACAATTCCATTGGTTTTTCAATCTTATTCTGGTCAAGTATCAGATTTCTATAGAAGTCTGGAGCAAGTCCTCTCCCTAAGGGAGAAGAGAAAGCAATTTAGGGCAGGGCACATTCCCAGGTAATCAGCAGGCAAGACTCAGCCCAGAGCTCATTCCCAGCATCTCAGGAAATACTAGTTAATACCCTTCCACTTTCCATCCTGGGCCTCCCCAACAATCAGGGATTACTGCTTTCTCCATGAACTGAACATACTTCTAATGATAGCCCCCAGCATTATTTGCTTCTAAACTTTTCTTCTGATCAGAGCTTGGACTCCATGACATTCTCATTGGAGTTCATTCTGGTTCTTATCAAATAAAACAAAGTATTTCTCCAATCAGGCCCCTGATGCACAGAGGTATACAAAAACTAAATAGCTTTTGAAACTAAAATTGAAAGTAATTTAAAAGATTTCTATGTTCTTATCAACATCTGACATGATAAAATGCAAAATTTGCGTTAAGTTTTAGGATAAGARAACTCAGGCTCATTCACACTCTCAGGGCTGAGCATTACCCTCCTCTGTTGGAGGACTATATTTACAGAAAACAAACATAGACTTCCAACTTGTCCAGTTTACTCCATTGTTCACTGAGAAGGCTATGCTCTGGAAGGGGATTCATTGGTGCCAAGACTGAGTTCGTTCATCCCACCATGACACTTCCAAGCTCTAGCAGCAGTAGCAGGCATCATGGAAAACATGAAAGTTAAACATTAAGATTTCAAATAGACTTTGCTGTAAAAGGAATGTTTTGAACCCAAAAGGTAAAACTGTGACAATTCCCATTCAAGGCTGACTTGTTAACTTTTTTTGGTCTAAAATGTTACTAGTCTGCAAGAGACAGCTTATTGCAATTATAATACTAGCAGTTGCATTTATTGAGTACTTGGTGTCAGGTGTTTTGTAGGAACCACACACACACTAATCTCATTCCTGTTTCACAGGCATGGGAACTTTCTCAAGATCACCCTGTCATAACCGGTGGAAACAAAGAAGCTTATGCAGGCAGGTCTGTGTTCCTAATCAGTACACTATACTGTCTCACCACAGAATTCCCTTCTCTTTAAGGTTTTAGCCTCCTCTTTTCTATGGCTACCAAGGTAAACAAATATGGGCCAACAGTTATGGAGCATTATAAACTTGTAGGTACATAAATTAGATTTTCCCTGACAAAAGGGAACATCTTTTATAAATTTAGCCTTGTTCTTTCAAAATTCAGTGCACTCTAGGTCAGCATGATTTATGCACAGCTGAACAGTGATTTTAGTAATGGCACCAAGTTGTATGTGTGAAATAGCTATACTGGGAAGATTGTGTTCTCCATACTAGTAAACTGCCCATGGGACAAACCCAAGAGAAACATCTTCTCTGTCTCTAACCTAAGGGTTGGTTGGCCAACCTCTTTTCCTTCTGACCATCCACAGAAGAGACACCCAAATGTTCAGTGGATTGGAGCAAGGCTGTAGTAGAGGAAGGCCTCTTAGATTCTCTGGAGGGGCTTTCATCTTACTGTTGGCTCCCCTCACGCCACCTAGCAACAGCAGACTGTCAGGCCCTGGCCAGGCCCATTTGCTCTATACTCTCATCTAGCCTTGATTAAACTAGAACCTCAAGAAAAGGAATTGCAACAAAGCAAGTTATAGGAGAGGATCAAAGCCTAAGTAAACAAAGGAGCCTAAGATGGGTGGAAACTGATTAATGACATGTAACAATCAAGAAACAAGTATATGATAGAAAAGTAGTCTTGGCAAGAGATGGGAAAAGCATTCTCATTAGGAATGCTTTACAAAAAGTGAAATCTGTTCCTTTATTCTAAATCTCTAAATTTATACGTCTTTTACTGCTATTCAAAAGGTTGTATTTATTGAGAAGTGGCAAATCCTCTACCAAATCAACAAATAATTTTCCCCTTTCATATACATTTCAAAAAAGTCTTCTAAATGAATTTCTACTTTTGACCATCTGCTCACTGAACACAGAATACTTCTCATTCTTTCATTTAAAAAGCAGGTAGTAGGCCCTGCATGGTGTAGCATGCCTGTAATCCCAGCGGCTCTCCAGGCTGAGGAAGGAGGATCTTGAGTTTAAAGCAAACCTCAGCAAAAGCAATGCACTAAGCAACTCAGTGAGACCCTGTCTCTAAATACAATACAATATAGGGCTGGGGATGTGGCTCAGTGATTGAGTGCCCCTGAGTTCAACACCCAGTAACCCCTCCCCAACACCCCTCAAAAAAAAGGTAGGTAGTGGTGAGGATCAAACAGAATAAAATTATATTTTTTGGTCAAATTATTTATAATCTGTGTAAACTTTAAAAGTATAAAGTAAAATACAGGCTAAATGAATTTTCAGCTACCATAAAATTATAAAATATTAGCTGACTCATTGAAAAACAARTACAATATAGAAATCACAATGATAAATTTCACTTTAATCAAATTAAAGTCAGGAATATGAAGACTGGCTCGATTTTTCTTTAATTTTCCAAATACTACTTATTTTCTACTTTTTTTACTCTATTTTAACATTCATATAATAATACATGTGTTCTAGGAAAGCATCTGTGGTTACAAATAAAAAATATGTATCCACAAGCCCTTAAATACCATGTAAACTACTGGATTGTCAACATCAAATTTCTACTTCAATAAAGAAAATTATTAATGTTAAATGAGCATTGTTTCACTTATAATGCTGACTTTAAAGAGATCTGGAAATAAAATATAGTAAAATTATTGCTTCCAAAGTTAAGTTGGCACAATCTATACAAGACAGAATTCAAACAAAAACATACTGCACCAAAGCAGTTAGTTACATAACTAATCCTAACCCCATCTCTCGACATCTCAATGCACCTGCAAACGCCATCCTTCTACAATCTTTAAAATCAAAGGGGTGTCCTGGGGTCTAGATATATAAATTCTATATATGTTATGATATATCCTCTGCTTTTTAACCACAGCACTGATTTATTTGCATGTTAAACAGTACAATAAATACTTAAAAAAATCTCAATTGAAGTCTCATAGTATATTACTTTTTCAGATAATAAAAAAATTCATGTGTAAAACAAGATGTATTTATTTTCATTATTTAAAAAAAATGTAACATTTATTGTACAATCCCTGGAACTGTAAAATAGCTATTCTTTTAATTTACAGAATCAAGGGAAGTATTTTAAATGTCAAAATATACATGCTGCATGTGATTGAATATATAAGCACCAAAAATCTAAAAAGTTTACAAAAATTGTTTAAACATATAAGGTGCATTTACTTATGAATTACATTCAGTTTAAGGGAAGATACTATACCCCAAAGGTTATTAATATTTACGAAATATCTGAAAGGCATCCAACTTACAGCAAAATAACAAATACTGCTTATAGGTTATTTTTATACAAGCCATTTAGGTTCAAAATATTTTAGGGCTGACTTATACTGTGAAAGGCAGTTTGGATTATTAAATTTGTTTATGTTCCAGCTTAAGATACTTCATATATAWCAGGAATTTAATGTCCTAGAAAAACTAAAGCAAAATAAAACAAAACTAAGTAATTTTGTAAACATCTTAAGGAAAAAGTTAGATCTCTTATTTTCTATATAGAATTGGGAATGAAGTCATTTTGGGTCAAATAAAATTATTTAAAAAATGTTATTAGTCTACTCAGTAATTGGACTTTTCTAAATATGCCACTAAAGCTTTGGGCAATAATTGCCATTAAGAAGTTAGATGAAGTAAATAGAAAATTAATTTATCAGCTTATAAATCAAGTGTCATGATATTAAAGCATAGCTCTTTTCAAATCATTTAGTCAATGCCAATAACAAATAAGGAAAATATATACCTGTATTGCTCTAAATATACTGTTTTTAGTTGTCCTAAATGACCTGATTAGGTCAGGGAGGGGACTTGGCCTGGTTCTCCAACTCTGTGGAATTTCTACCTCCAGCTTCATTCTAAATAGCTTATACAAGATCAAATTATTGACACCACTACCACATAATTCAGAAGCTGTAGTCCTAAAGGACACCTACATTTATATATTGACTTTTTGCTGTGTGCATTAAAGAATTTGTTGTGCTTTTCACAAATCTGACATAAGTTTTTGTATCCAACATTTTATTTCTTGGTTTCTTTGGAAGGGAAAATAAAGAAAAGAGGTACATCAGGAGAAATGGATTATAAGGTGACATTACACATATGGCTAGCTAAATATTTTTTGACTTTAAAAGATAATGTCATCACAAGGCCAGATATATATCTATACATATAAACAAAATCTCCTCCATAAAAGCCATATTCCATGACTGATTTTCACAGCAACCTTATATATCAATGTTTTTCACAAATCTGATCAGTAATCCACTGAGTATGCTTTTAGAATTGATGTATGTCATTACCATAGCAGTCTAAACATTTGTACTTTTAAGGAAATGTGCTTAAAAATGGTACAGTGATTTGCCCATTAGGACTATTTACAAAGATAGCTATTTACGTTAGCAATAAATAATCCTGATATCAAAAGAGATAATGCTCATGCACACACCAAGATGGATGCATGCTCTTAAAATATTTACACGTAGTTTCTTCTTTATGAGTCTCCCATTAATATTGAAAGTGCGCTTCCTTCTGTTTTTCCATATTTTCTTCAGTCTTGTTTCTGGGGGATGCATCCTTCCATTTCTACAACTTCAGGCCATCCTTCGTATTTATTTGTATCCTTATTGTTCTTTATGTGCTATTGGAACACAGTAATAATATACAGTTTAAAAAACCTTTGTGTCCTGATTTGCAAAAAAACATAACTCTACTCACTCATTTCAGTAACACTCATGTCAACAATGAAGTCATATAAATTACTGACCAAGATAGTAAATGAGCAACCCCTGGGGTCTGACACATCCGTGGCCAACCTTCAAAACACAGCTAAAACAAAACACTGAAGACGCTTTTACAGGATCATGTGTCAGTCAAAAAGTAAAGTTTACATTCTATTAAGTTCTGTAGTATTTCCAAACTTAACTGATTCTAATAGCTAAAGCTTAATTAAAATATTTAATAACTAATGCTTCCTAAAAGGCTTCAAAGTAATCCTATTCCAATGCACTGTTACATAGGGGAAAAAAAAATACAGAATTTGTTTTTGAATTTTGAAATTTAAAAAGTGTCATGGTTATTTCAAATAGCTAGTTATCAAAAACTTAATGAAAAATATCTGAATATATTTAATAGCTGCTTTATCTAATTTTTAATAACCGGATGGGAATATATACTGGGAAGTTTTACACACTTTGCTTTTGTCCACTGATTATGAAGTTCTAAGATACTAACCTGTTCAAAAGGACTTTTTGTCTTAATGCCCTTCCCACCACAGAAGACCCAGTTGTCTCTAAAACCAAGAGTATTAATAGACGTGCTTCCCAATTCAGAAATAAGCCGCCGTGCCTCATCATTGAGTCTTAAGGAAAAAGAAAACAACAGTAAACACAGGGCACTGCACTTAGCACTGATTCATCCATAACAGTTGATAAGCATGAAGTAAAATGAAAACACGTGAACTTAAATAAGAAAATGTAAAAAACAGAAAGTTTTCACAGAATATTTCTATTTAAATTCTTTAGTGGAAAAGAACATGAATTCTAGCAATTAATAATGTTAATTTATTCTATTAGGAAGTAAATAAGTTTTAGTAGATATCTACCCAGGTTAATCCAAGGTCTTAAGCAACCAATATCTTTGTAAAACTAATTAGCACTTCGATTCTCCACTAAACCCTTTATAAATTATATGGGAATGGAATAAAGGTAAATGTTGATAGAAATTTGGAAGTTTTCACAGTATTTTAAGACAAAGCAAATTTTGAAAACAGCAGTACAAATGTTATTTCAGCTATGTAAAAAATGAAAATATTAACTGCCAGAAAAAGGAGGGGCAGTAGCCAGCTAGCCACTATGGAAATTACTAGTTTAAATTATTGGGGTGGGGGGTAGGTTATAATTCTAACATTGAGAGATTCCCTTTCCCTTGTCTCTCAAAGGGGAGAAGAAACTCAAATAAACGCTAGGTGTATAACTACAAACAGAACAAAAATATAATTAAGGGTCACCTGTACAGGTTATTTGATATGAAGTCCTATAGCATATGGCCCCATAAGCAGCTCATCAAGGGCAAGTACATATGACAGTCCCTCAGTCCCACCATCTAGGGCAATATGAAAGGTGTGTTCTGCTAAAATGTGGGGCAGGGTGTTTCATATTTGCAAATTCCAGTGTTTTAAAAAACATACTGTGCTAGTATCTGTTAGCTTTTATTAGTATATTAATGAAATAAACCAGGTATAGCTCTCATTTAACTAAAGATAAAAGGGATGATTTATATTTTGAAATCATAAAACAGGAAAGAACTACAATATAACAGCTTTTATAACTTATGCAAACCACATCCATGGAGCAATGGAATGATTCTGACCACAGCACGGGCACTGTTATCCACCTGAAGGAGTCTACTAGAAGAAGTGAATAAATGAGGGACAGCACCTGGAATATTTAGCCTTTCAGACTCAACTCTATATTAAGTGATACATTATAACCATGAACCAAAAAGATGTGAAATGTCTTTAGTATAAAAAGAACCAGTGACAWCTTAGCTTCTGGAGAGGAAACATTCATATGGAGCATATACAGGGGCTCTCTCACTTTCTCCTCAACTTTTGTTTCCTGTGACCATCCTTACATGAATTAGGTATCACTCTCCATTTGTTTGCTCCCTTAATAAACAATTTGTGTATTAGAGAGTATTGCCTGAATTCTGTTTTCTCATTTCCAAATAGTGTAGAACATATGTCATGGATCTGGAAGACTAAAATTCCACTCATACAGTTTATGTAGATGTTCTATTTTATGGCTACTTTCTCAAAATTTTCTACTTGTGACACTAGTAGATGAGTTTTGCTGCCATAACATGAATAAATAGTACTGAAATGCAGAGGGTACATTATAGTTGGTTCTCTGGGCAAAGAGCCCTAGACTCCATTCACATTTACACCTCAGAAAGATTACAACTTGCCATCTCACAGACATTTAGGGCTGCTCATGAACAGCTGAAATTACAAATGTTAAATTCACAAATGGTGATTGCTTTATATACAAAAACTGTCCCCAAAGTAGGTGGCCATCCAAACACAGGTCTGGTCTCTGAAAAAAGTAAGTAAAATTTTTCTTGGCTAAGCATTTGCAGCAACTAAGAAACAAATTGAAGGGCAGTTAGTCATTGTTACTTCTGTAACCAGTTATTTTCACAATTTCATAAGTTATCATTATAATCTGTACAAATGAATTTAGCATGAGATACAGAAGAAATGTGAAGATTTAGCTTTATGTTTTCACTCCAGTGATCTCTTTCCTTATATTTCCATGAGACTATCCAGAGTTCCCATTCTTCAAGAGAGTATTAGTATAGCAGACCTGAGGTTTCCATCATTAGAAAGGCCTGATATCTGGATTGGTCTTGGCTGGCATCTGGAGGAGGAGGGCTCCCATCCTTTTCAAAACTAAAGGGAATGATTTCTTATGCCTGTGTGCACAAATGATGTAGTTTATGCTGAATGTCCACTCTTGTCTTGATGTCTGGGATTTGGGAATGCCTTAGGTAGATGGTGCCTACATGACAAATCTCAGGTAAAAACCCCAGGTCACTGAGGTAGAAATGGGGACCAAGACGGTGTCTGGTTTTGCTTCAGTCCTTGCTGATAAAAGAAGTACATATGATAGTCCCTCAGTCCCACAATTGAGCCAAGCCAATGTCTCCTTTTTTGAAGTTCAGAAAGCAATAAGAATGGTTATTCTGGGCTCAATTCTGATTAATGAGAAAGAACAAGTAGGAAAATAGAAGTGTTATGAACTTTGCACCATACTACCTTAATAGACTGAAGAACAGATGCTAGACATTGGGGGCCATCTAGCCCAGACTTGAAAGAGAGTTTGTTACAGAAAGTTCAGGTTGGAAATGCCTATGAAGGAAAACACACACACCCCAAATAACCCTAATAATTTTCACCATATAATGAGGGTATTGTGATGGGTTCAAACTAAAAAAAAAAAAAAAAAGTCACAGTTTTAAAAATACGAGGCAAAACACATTACTGAGAACAAAGCTTTTTTAAAAAAAATAATTATTTTTTAGTTGTAGTTGGACACAATACCTTTATTTTACTGATTTATATGTGGTGCTGAGGATCGAACCCAGGCCCTGTATGAGTTAGGCAAGTACTTTACTGCTGAGCCACAACCCCAGCATCATAACCCCAGCCCCAGAGAACAAAGCTTCTAATACTACCAGGAAGACGTAGTTCTCAGAATAAGATGAGACTCCCAAAACTACTAGAAATTTTGCTACAAAGTGGGAGTAATGACAGGACCCACTGTTTCAAAATAATGACATAATATCATCACAACAAAGCAAGACAGTCTGTCCAGAGGGGTACACATATTTTTAATCAACATAAAAAGAGAATAGCAGCTCTACGATATCTACATAAGTGCTTTACAGTAGATGTAAACCTCCAGACCCACAGAAGGCACACAATTAGGTTCTACAGGAACTTGTTAATATAATCTTTGAGGCAGTATGAAGATACCGAGACAAAAAAAGTCAAAAGTTGAAGTTTTCCAAAAATACAAGGAAAATTTTAGAAACTATGGTTCCAATTCCTACCACAATTCTACAAGAAAAGACAATGAAGAAATCTACAAGCATTAAAATGAAAGAAGGAGGGGCTGGGGATATAGCTCAGTTGGTAGAGTGCTTGCCTCTCATGCACAAGGCCCTGAGTTTGATCCCCAGCAAAACACAAACACACAAACACACACACACACACACACACACACACACACACACAAATAATAATAATAATAAAATGAAAGAAGGAAAGAAAGCATATAGTGGGAAAGAGAAAGGAATTAAGTAAAGTCAACTTAATGACATTTTAGCTATTTCAGCTATGGAGGAAGTAGATCAGGGTACTGTAATTAGCATCATCTATGGATTTCAACTAACAGTCTCAAAAAACAGCCTCTATAAATAAAACAATAAAATTGCAGCTGGATAATATGCTTATTGAGGTACACTGGAAAATAGTTTCTGCAGTTCATTATCAGCTGAATCCTTTGGAAGAGGAGGCCTCTGGTAGGGTAGCATACTGCTCTTGAGAAACATTTTTATCAAGGACTTATATTTGGACATAAAAATGACTTTGGAGAGAGTACAAAGCCTGGATCATGGAAACCTCATATGACAAATGTCAGAATCAAGACCAAGACAGTCCAAATCAGCAAAATTAAATTTAACAAGAATAAATGAATATAAAGTTCTTCATTTAAATTAACAAAATCAAGTTCTGAATGGAGGGAAAGACCTGACTTGGCAGTGGTTTAAAAAACAAAATAAAAGTCTAAGATCAAATAAACAGATTCTAGAACTTAACTTGACCAAAAACTCATGAGCCAAAAATGTGATGTGATTATTTAAAAAAAAAAACTAATAGAATACCAGTCTACATGAATATTCAAAGAAATGTAATCTCTAAAACAGAGCAAGAGATCATCTCCACTGCACTCTGCACTGGCCAGACCACATCTGGAACACTGTATTTAATTTGGGACAGTCATTTTAAAAGAAACAATAATCAGCTAAAGAATGCCCAAGAAATGTAGCCAGGAGTATAAGYAGAATAAGAAACTAACATGATAAAAGGTAAAAAGAGGTCTGTGTACTGAGCCTAGAAAAGAAAAAAGTAAACACCAATTAGCTTTAAATTCTTGGAGAACATATTTATTGTTTTGTTGCACAACTTACCCAATTTCAGGATAATCAGGCAGAATTTAAAGGGAGCCCACCCTGGAGCACAGAACTTCTCTATGAATCTGCATTAGTTTTGTTTCAGATAGGGAAACTGCATGGGTATGAAAGTGAAGATATTTACAGAGCACTCCAGGGAATCTTGCTCAGGCTTGGGTGTTGTTTTAGATAGCCTTTAAGGTTTTTTCTTAATCTCAGGCATCTACACTGAAAACTTCCAGTTAGGCTACAATTTATTATTAGAATATTAATAGATTAATAGGTTAAGGAGAACAACAGTTCTCATTCCAAACAGGTATAACAAAAGAGTGTAGCCTTGAAGAAAGGTCATGTGGGGCTAGTCAGAAAAGGGGTTTAAAACAGCCAAAGGGGTTTAAAACAACCAAAGCAAAGAGCAAGTTACTTGTTTTTTTGATAAGGAAAGTGTAATTACATCCTGTGTCGTCCTATTCAGATATGTGAAAATGGTTCAACTTGCCAATTTTACATTGATCTTCAGTTTACAGATCTAATATGGCCACAGTTGAACCAGAAAAAAATGCACTTTGTGAAATGATTTCAGTTTAGATTTCCTTATAAAGAGGCACTATTTTTTAAAGTTTGTATCTGCAATAATGTAACCATATGTTATATATGCTTTAAAAAAATCAATAAATAGAAGACATGCCATATTCCCATATGAATCTAATAGTTTTAAAGACTTTTTAATTAAAATATGTAAGAATATTTTTTATTCTTTTTTTTTTTTGGGGGGGGGTACCGGGTATTGAACTCAGGGGTACTTGGCTACTAAGCCACATCCTCGGCCCTATTTTGATTTTATTTAGAGACAGAGCCTTAAGTGGCTTAGTGCCTCACTTTTGCTTCGGCTAGCTTTGAACTCTCAATCCTCTTGCCTCAGGCTCCTGAACCACTGGGATTACAGGTGTATGCTACACCAAACCCAGCTATTTTTATTTTTAATGGAAAAAATATMAAAAAAAATTTTTTAAAGACGAATGTTAGAGGTTGCTTAGCCCCACCAGACAGTCAAGAAGTATACTTACTTTTCACACAATAGTTATAAAACAATTGAAATAGTGTCTTTGAAAACAGCAAATAAAAATTTATCAACAGAACAAAAATTCTGGACATGGAACCAAGTCAACATAAGGCCCTAGTTACACAGTCTTCCGAATGGATTTTTAGAAATGCAGAAATATGGTAAAATAATGGGAAAAAAATACACTAAATATCAAATGTGGAATGCAAAAATACATCTCAGTTTTAAAAGGAAAAGAAACTACAAAGAGAAATTCACAGACTCAACTACCTGACAATTAACCTTAAGATAAAAGTACAAAGTCACCATAAATTTACAAAACTATGAACAAGTGATATACAAAAAAATACATTTTAACATGAATAATCGTTAATATCTTGATAAACAAGTAAGTATGGGTTAACTTGAATGCAAAAGAAAATTTAAAAAAGAAAACACAAAAAAAATCTTGTGAGGAAAAAATTCTAACCAAAGAAGGCATGTTCTTTTAAAAAGCCAAATATCTTTTCAACACTGGTAGAATTGGACCTTTTAAAAAAAATTCATAACTTCTAAGAAAAATATAAATTTGGCACAATTTTTTAAAATTCTGTTTAATAAAATACCTTTTTATTTATACATTTTTTTCAATGAAAATGTGTTTTTCTTATCATTACAAATCAGAGCCCCAACAAGTTGGATAAGATTTTGCTTACGTACTTGGTTGCTCCATCGTCATATGTTCCCATCAAGACTATTGTTCCATCTTGTATGGCCTTCAGAAACTCAATAAATGGTGCCACATCTGAAGAAAAAGAAAGAGTGGGGGTTTTTCTTTTTAAATGACTGAGTAACCATCAGAAATAATCCCTAGAATTAATATTATAAAATGCAAATTATCCATAAAACAAGAATTTATAATGAAAAGAAATCTAAAAGGAAGACAAATCTTACAAAGTTTAAAAACTGCCTAGTTTGTCCCTTAATATGATCCCACCATCAGCCTACAATTTTCCAGTCCTAATTTATCCTATGTCTTTTGTACTGATATCCTGAGGCTGAGGAAAATCCAACTCAGAGCCATGACTTATAAAGTGAAAGGTATCACTCAGATACGAACAACTGTGTCTATGGAAAGCCTGATTCTGAGATCTGTGGATAAACTTCAGGAGAATGGCTCATGGACTACCTGAATGTATGTAAAATTGTTTGTATGGGAACTTTTCTAGAAAGAGGATACACTGCTTTCATCCAATTCTCCAAGAGATATGTAATTTTTAAAAATATCTATAAACCCACAGATTTCAAGAATTTTCTAGATCTATCTTTTTCAATGAGCTGGGGCAAGGAATGTAGGGTATCACTAAAAGCCAAATTAATTACAGCAAATATCACAATCACATCACCTTGATATTGGTCCACAAGAACATCAAAATAAACCACTCAGTGAGTAAATCACCTCACATATGGAGTTGTCTACAAGGTCAGGTTGCCTTATAGCCCCCTAACACATTTCAAAGCTAGTTTACTTCAAATTTACTTAATTTTTTTTCCACAGAAAAGATTCCAAAGATTTTCTCTGAATATATATAATAATAATGACATTTTCAATTCAGAAAAGATGGAACAAACAAAGCAGCTAACAAATTACTCCCATTAAATGCAAAGATGGCAACAAACTGCAACTATTTAATTGGAAGACTATTTTCAGAGGAATTCACCTTCCTGTGATGAGAAGAGTGAGGACCACCAGAACTTCCTATCACACTACTGCTTCCAACAACAGCTTTCTAAAAGGCTCTCCATGTAACACATTTTGGTAAGACCAATTATGCCTTTACAATCTAAAGCTGATGGTAACATTTTAAGTTTACACAGTTTTGACAGCCATAAAATGTTCTTCACATCTTATTTGAGGAATAAATAATACACAGCATCTCATTTTATAAGAAATGCTATATAATTTGAATTGTTTGAAAATTCTCAACATAAACTTAAGGAAGCCTAACAGTGTTGCCTTCTAGGGAATATATATATGGGATGGAGAAGTGGAAACCAATTTAAAGAACTAAAAGATAAACCAGTGTTGGTCTCCCTTCCAACTCGAAGAAGAAACCCTTTCCTTTTGGGCATCATTCTTCTTCAAGCTGCCAGCTCCTTGCCTCTGTATGATGGTGTCTTTTCCCATTCCTTGAATGACTTCCAAATACAAAAGGGAAAAATGTTTTTGGATTGTACTAAGTCCAGTGAATTACAAAGAAAATATATTCCTTCTCTTGAATATTCATGTACTTTAATGGCCATACTCAAAGGTAGAACTAGGATGAATGGGATTACTATTTTTCTAAAACCTGATAGTTTATTTGTATATTTTGAAGGCTCCCACTTATATTTTTGAGACAAAATTATATGTAAACAAATAGTCTCAGTAAAAAAGGTTTAAATTGGTTATGGTGGTCTTTTATACATTGTTTCTAATTTCAGACAGAAAGCTCAAGGAGCCCAGGGCTTTTAATTAGTTGTCCAGTAGAAAACAGGACTCAAGTTTGTTGTTGTTTTTATTTATTTATTTATTTATTTATTAATATTTTTATTTTTTAGTTCTCGGCGAACACAACATCTTTGTTTGTATGTGGTGCTGAGGATCGAACCCGGGCCGCACGCATGCCAGGCAAGCGCACTACCGTTTGAGCCACATCCCCAGCCCCAGAGAGAATTCTTTTTTTTTTTTTTTTTAAATATTCTCGGTGAACCCAACATGAGGATCGAACCTGGGCCGCACGCATGCCAGGCGAGCGCGTTACCGCTTGAGCCACATCCCCAGCCCTCCCTGTTGTTGTTTTTAAATCTTGATTTTATTCAAATACACACAACAGTTTTTCTAACAAAAATAAACTGTATACAATTTGATTATTAAAGTACAGCTGGACATTTAGTGAAAAGTTAGAGAAGCAAATGAACTAACACAAATGGTACCATTTTTCTCTCATTAATTGGCTACATTACATTGAGGTAATTTAGTCATATTCACACGTACCTCCTCCCCACATGTCAAAATACTTAGTGTCTAACACTTCTCCTGTTTTTCCTGAAAGAGATTGAATTCAGATTAGGTTATGAAATTAAAATATTCCATACATTATGAAGACAAATGATCTCATCTAATGACTGATGTGAATTCACTAGCACAGAAGAAATTATTTTGAGATCTTAAAATCTGAATTGTATATATCTGAAGGGTAGTTTTTAAACAGGACTTTCTTATTTGTTTATTTTATATTTGTTGCTTTTAGATATAGGTGACAGTAGGGTGTACTCTGACATACATAGTTGGGGTGCAACCCATTACAATTTTGATCCCATTCTTGTGGTTGAACATGATGTGGAGTTATACTGATTATGTATTCATATATAAACATAGGAAAGTTATGTCTGATTCATTCTCCTGTCTTTCCTATTCCCATCCTTCTCCCTTCCCTTCTTCCCCCTTTGTCTAATCCAATGAACATCTATACTTCCTCTTCCTATCCTTCCTTGTTATAGGTTTCCATCCATATATCAGAGAGAACATTCGACCTTTGGTTTTTTGGGACTGGTTTATTTCACTTAGTATGATACTCTCCAGTTCCATCCTTAAATAGGACTTTCTCATTAATATTTTACACCAAAGAGTGGCAAACATAATTCACTGTTACATACTATTTCAATTCAAAGTTAAGTATATGTGTTATCAGCTTCCCTAATTTAAATCTTTTACAACAMAGAGATAGCTACTTGAATCAGATACTTTTTTATATATTAAAGACATTTTAAAATAAAATGTGCATTTTCCCTCATTAAAATTGATTAAATAGACAGATTTTAAATGTTTTACTTAAGAAAATGAAGAAAGATGCAAAAATTTACATCTTGTTGTGAAATATATAAAATCTACTTTCCTATACAACAAATGAGTAAGGTGGATAGTAACCACTACCACCTTTTATGGCTTTATGGGATACTTATAGTACCAGAGCAGAGAGGATCTGCATGCATATAGCCCTTGCTTCATGGCTTGGATATTCAGATCTAATTCTGCAACACTGAAGATGGCCAGGATTCAATGAATTTATGAGAAGCTTGTAGACAATATTGAAAAACTACAATAAATTCTCAATCTTTGTTCCTTCTTCTACCTATCCAATGAATAGTCAGTCCATTATCCTTTGTCATTTTACATACCTTCATGCCTATCTCCCTATCTTCATCATAATGACAAAATATGCATCAAATTTTCATTTAAAATTTAACATAATTTAACATTAGATTTACTGTTTTCTGATAATCTCAAAGAATGTTTTCCACAGAATGATCACTACTGGGATACTTTCAAGAAAACATGCTATAAATAGACACCAAGTCTCCATCTACGGTAGTTTGGGTGCAGGTAGAGGTTGAGAGAAGGTTTTCATTTCATAAGTGGATATAATCTGATTCCTTGACACTATTTTGCATTTTACTTTTAGGTACAAGAACATCTACTGAATATATCTATAAGCTACAATAACTATTCTTACCATTTGCCAAGGCAACATTGATCCCTCTTCCAACATTATTCTTCACACCACTCATCAAACTAAAAGGGAAAAAGTCAAGACAATTTTATTGGAATTAGATACTGCACATAAACACATATCACAAAAATAAAGTCATGCAGAAAATGAATATTAAATATACGTCAACTGTTTGACTCTGAAGAATAAAAGGCCTCTACTGAGTCAAAAAAGATAGTCTAACACAAATAATTTTAAACCAATGCTCTAAATAATATTTCCCAAATAATAATGCATATTTAAAAATACAGAGACTTAAACACTAGACTATTTCTTGCTGCTCTATGCCATACTATATAATGCCATTTAAGAAAACCCTCACAGCATGTGGACATATGCATACATTCTTCACCATACTCAGAGAATTGAGGGGTGGGGGTGAGGGGTAACCAAACTGGACAATCTCTTTTCTACTTTCTGCAGTTCAGTGTAATATGAAGTGATGTTACCTAAATCTTTTATCACCTGAAAGCAAGAAGAGTGGAGGATCACTCTTCCATGAATGCTTCAACTAATTGTGAATGTTCTTCTGGTAATCGGCAACATCAACTGTGCACTGCTTACACAGTTACCAAATCTAATCACAGGCACCATGTGGTCTGCCYGAGATAACCAACGTGCACTGGGACCTTGCAGAACACTACACAMAAAAAAATGATGTGGTGAAATGGAGGGCATAGTGGCACATTTGTTTGTTACCAGTTTAGTTTGTTCAGTTAGAATTATTAAGCTACAATTTTACAGGTACTTTCCATTTTTAAAATTCAAGGTAATAGTAATATTCCCAGGAGTGTGCTTCCAAATGTTTAAGAATTGGTTTAAAGTTAGGAGAATGAAGCAGTGCTCAGATATACAAGAGTATACATATGCACATGTATGCACGTGTTGATTTTTTATATCAGTAAAGTTTGTGCAACTTACAAACTTTACTGGTATAAAAAATATGCAACATACAATTTCACAAATAAAGCCTATAATACTTTACTGTAAATTCCACATAGTTAACTGAGTCTCACAGAATGTGTTAACTGATTTTCATAGAACTCACACCTGTGGTTAACTATGGTTGCAGCTGATGACTGAGTGCAGTTCTAACACAAATGTTGGATATTACTTGTGTTTATGTTAATGAGTAAAGACAGTAAAAATGAAGATTTATGTTGAAACTTCACTTGCCTTATGATGTTAGCAAGATCATACAAATATTTTTAAATATTGGAAGATGATTTCCTCTTTTGTGTTAGTCACAGTATAAGAACTACAGAAAGACACACTTAATTTTAATCTAACTTAACATTTTCTATCTCCTATTCCTAAGCGCAGATCTTGAGTCTGAAAAGTTTCTGTAAAGATTCAGAGCAATCACTAAAAAAGCTATACAAAGAGATGCACTCAAAACTGATATGAATAATAATAAATAAAAAACATCCACAAAGTTCTTAGGAAGGCTACATAAAATAGAAACAAATACAATAAAAATAACAAAATGCCATATTTGAGCCCTCACATATCAATAAGTATAATAAATGGAAGTATTTTAAATTCATCAAATAAAGACTGGCAGAGTAGGTTAAAAAAGGACCTAACTGTACCTTGTCTCTAAGAAATTCACTTAAGTATAAAGAAAGTGGTAGTGAAGTATAATGAAAAGAAAGAGTAAAACTCAATAATAAAAAGACAACCCAATTTAAAAATGGACAAGGAGCTGTAGTGGAAATTTCATTGTAGAAGGTATACAAATAGGCAATAAGCACATGAAAAGATCATCATTCATCTCATCCTAAAGGAGTCACAGATCAAAACCACAATGAGAGACTACTTCATACCTACTAGGATGGTGGTAATCAGAAAGTTAGGTGATAGTAAGTACTGGCAAATATGTGGAAAATTGGAACCCTCATCCACTACTACTGCTAAGGTAAACTATTGCAGACACTTTGATAAACAATCTGGCAGTTTCTAAATAGTTAAGTTACCATTTGAACCAAAATCCACTCCAGTATACACATAAAAGATGGACGTATGTGCATATAAAAACTAGTACACAAATTTATAGGAACATGATTCATTATAACCAAAGAGGAAATAATTCAAAGTCTATCAACTAAGGAATGGGTAAACACTGTGTTATATCTAGACAATGGACTATTAACCAGCCATAAAACAAAGGACTGGTCAAGTAACAACATGGATCAATCTTGAAAACATTATGCTAAATGAAGGAGTTAATTATAACCGACCACATACAATACCATTTATATGAAATATTCAAAATAAGAAAATCTATAGAGAAAGTAAACAAGTGCTTATTTGGGCATTAGGGTGGGGGAGCAGGGCAGGATGAGAACATAGGCAATAGCTAAAGGGTACAGTTTCTTTTTACTTTATAAAAAATGTTCCAAATTGGAAGAGGTTGCACATAGCTATGAATTAAAATAAAAACTACTGATTGTACATCTGAACCGAGTGTAGTATCAGGTACATAAATTAAATCTGAGAATTGCTTAAACTAGTCTTAATACACACAAAAAAGGTTTATGCTTTATTATATTACTATTGGCTCAACTGTACAAAATAGGAGGGAAGTATCCTAATGTATTTGCTGCATTCCTTTTAGAAATACACTGGATACAATAATAAGAAGTAGACATGAGGGCTGGAGTTGTGGCTCAGTGGTGGCCTGCTTTCCTCAAATGTGTGGGGCACTGGGATCGAACCTCAGCATCACATAAATAAATAAAATAACGAAAACTACTAAAAAAATTAGATACAACTAAGTTGTTTGATCAGTGATTAAATGCTACAGTGACATTTTCCGAGTACAAATCACATCAGAGGAGACTGTTGTGGTTAAACCCATCAGAAAGCAAAAAAAAATTAAAAATTAAGGTGATGTAGAAGCACAATGGCACAGGCCTCCCACAAGAGGGCAGCAGCTTATCAATTTTTAAAAAAATGAATTCAAATAGAAAATCTGAATCAAAAGCACTGAAGATTCAAAATGTATAATGGTTAGTTACTGCTACTAACAGAAGTTGAAATATTCTCTTTTACCCCTCATGAATGTCTGTACCACTCACACCTCCAGGAAAAAACGTAAAGGAAATGATTAGATCAATATCATACATCTGACAGTTTCTAGCTATTACTTAAAAGTTAGAACTGGGTTTGGCAAACTTAGTTGAAAGGCCAAATCCATTCAGCTGTKTTTTTGTTTTGTTTTGACTTGACTTACTACTTGTGAGCATAGAGTGATTTTTTAGATTTTTAAATGGTGACATTTTAAATTATTATATAAGTATCTACATAATAATGATTTTACTTCTTGGCCCTCACAGCCAAAAATACTATATAGTTTCTTGTTAAAACACACACACACACACACACACACACACACACACACACACCTCCTATATACTTTGTACCAAATATTAAGATTATAAGAGGTAAAGTATTTTCACTAATAACTTCATACAAACTGAAATCAGACAAGTATGCTTTAGATGAAAAATTTATATGTTGAACAAGAGTTCAATGGGTTCTCCAACATAAACGGGAACAAAACCTGCAAATCCTGTTTTGTGTGATGCCTGAGGTTTACACTCAGAATTTTCTAACTAATGAGGCATTTAAAATACATCGTAATCTCCAGAACATTACCTTGCCTTTACTTGTCCTTAATATCATGACTTTTTACTTGTCCTTAACACCATCCTAATCAGAATTGCCACATTTTATCTTTATCAGAGTTTCTCAAGCTTAGCCTTGATGATACTGGAGGCCAAATCATTCTTGTGGAGGAGCTAATTTGTTCACCGAAAAATGTGTAATAGCATCTAACTCTGCAGGTAACACTTCTACTGCTGTGATAACCTCAAATGACAATGTCACCCAAATCACCCCTGGTGAACCACATTGATATGGAAGAGTATTCACCAAAGTGAGTTTGTGTATATTAAAAGTAGGTGCAAGAAAATACTAAAATTTCTACTTATGTATTTTTATTATCTACTTACACATTTCAGAAGTTGTACAAGCAAAAAGGCTCATAACCAATTGGCAGGCAGTATCAAAGAGCTGGCAGCAATCAGCAACGGCCTCCCATTGTTCTATTCTACTTCTTACATCATTTTATATAGCAACCAGATCATTTTTTTCAATGTAAATGAAATCATAACACACCAATGTTTGAAAAACATTCAACACTTCTTAAGACACTCAGGAAAAAAAAAATCTCAGTCCTTTACCTTCATTGCCTACAAGTTACAATGGTTAAAGCTCTCTAGAGCTTTCCCATCTCAGGGCCTTTGAGCAAGCTTACCCTGCTGTCTAGAATGCACTTCTCCACTCTTCATCTGGCCATCTTCCTTCTTATCCCTGGTTGTCAGACTATACATTGTTCCCCAAGCCTCACACCAAAGTTGGACACCTCATCTTGCTCACTCCATCAGTATTGACCACATCTGCCTGCATAGCTGGTGTCTCAATTTAGGATCACTGACTAGAGTTTACTTTGTAAGTATTTGTTACCCCAACCAGACTATAAATTCCATGATAGGAAGATTATGCTTGAGTAATTTCTGAATAAATGAATGAATGATGCTTAGAAAATTCAGTCTTATTTAAACTTAATTTTTTTAAGTTTTTCATATAAAAATAGAATATACTGGACAAAACACTGGACAACTTGGTCCTTGCAGTCTCTCTACTAGGGATCCCTCACCAATTATTCAATTACTCAGCCCCTCAATGGGGACTCACTTCATGACCTGAGACCTAGCTATAAAAATCCCATCAACTATTTAATCTCTCTTGGGAATGGCAGAATGATTCTTGAAATGTGGTGGATTGGTGGTCAGCCTCAATTTTATGGTTAAAGAAACTGAAATAAAGTATAAATTCTACACGACATGCCCACCATGCTTGAACCAAATTCTCTGGTTTCAAGCCCAGTACTATTTTACAGGCTCCAATGCCCACAAACTTTTCTTTTCGACCTATACAATCTGGAGATAGAAAACATGCTAGTCAAAGAGTTTGATCTCTTTTTATTTGTTACTAAACTTACTTGCTTGAAATGGACAGAGTAGGTGCCCAAAGATAATTTGTGGGCTAACTGTTCCAAAAGAAAATTCTCCCTATTTTTTAGAATCAAGCTGGGGTCTCTTTAGTCAAACAAGGTACAAAGGGATTAGAAATGTTTAAAAACACCTAGGAACTTCAAAATCCCAAAGTGCTTTATTACATATCAGTAAAACAGGAGTAGTATAATGAGAAATCAAGGACAATGGACTAACAATGGATCACCATTAGCATGAGGGAAAAGAAAGGAAATGAGCAGAGACTATAAAGATCATCTGGTTCAAGCCCTCAATTTTGCAATAAAAGTATTCCATGAGATTAAATAATCTTTTGCTCAATGCAAAAGGGGCTAGAATAAAAAATAGCTTTTATATGAAAGAGACAAAGAGTTGGGAGGAACTGCTTAATTTGGGTAGTTTCCTTTTTAAATCTACATCACCTTGCTCTTTATTCTACAAAATCAAGTGTCACATTTACTATTTTATATAAAGTTCAAAAAAGTTCATATAACTAGTTTCCCAGGCAATCAGATTAAAAGCAAACAACTAAAAGTGGGATTTGCAACACAGAAGCACAGACTTAAATTATATGCGACAGCTGACACTGAAGTAGGATACTGTAGCATCTACAAACCAACACAGGAAACCATTCAGCTCAGGGGCAATTTACGCAACTATGGACCTGTGGTTATCACTGGATCATTTCCCACTTCAACAAGCAGCACTCAATTAAAATGAAAGGTGCTGGTTTGTAAGATAAAGTATTCATTATCCAGAGCAATGCTGTTGACTGAACTTTGCCACAATGGAAATATATCTGGGATGTTCAATTCAGCAGCCACAAGCCACACATGGCCATTGAGCACTTGAAATGTGACAACTGTTACTGAGGAAATAAGCTTTAAATTAATTTAAACAAATTAATTTTCTCTCTGGTATTTAAGAGAAAAGAGACACACTTGTTAGGTAGGTGGCTACTGAATGGGACAATGCAGATCTAGAGAATACACTCAAAGAAAATCCCTTGTCTCTACACAAAACTGTTTAAATGCTGTGTTCTTAGTCATTCTCTAATATACAATTCAGTAAATGCATGGGGGAATCAATTATATAATAATTGAAATAACTTTTCTTTAGAAGAAGCATGCCCAGTTTATTTTCAGATTTATTCAACTCAGGCCTATAATTTAATACACAGCACTCTTTAGAGCTTCAAAGAACACATACTTACACATTGTCTTCCAAGCAGATTTTGGGTCCCACCACATTGGCTGCTCCACTTGCCATTTTAAAAGCAAAATGTTTCTCAGGGCAAGCTTTTGAGATACCACATTTATATCTGGGAGGCTTCGTAGCTTTGGGGGAGAAAATTGGATTTTTTTTTTTTTAAAGAAAATAAGTTAGAGACTGTTTTTTTTTTTTTAAATCTCAACCCAGAACAGACATTATGTAAAACATCAAAATATACAAAACTGAAAAAATATGTTAGCCCTCTCTCACCCCAGAGGGCTTTGAAGAACCTCAACCCAAACAACACCACAACCCCAAACCTCCTGGGAAACAAGCTAACACCTGACATACATGGATCAAGTAACATGATCTTGACAAGTGTAGATGTATTTCATCTAATTTTTCTTGACTTTATTTTTAAATTTCAGGTGTGGGGAGATATGAATTGCTACTTTCCATAGATGCATAAAAACCTTCGGAGTCATTAAAGTTACATTCACTTAACTCCAGGATCACTAAAAAAACTTAATGTCTGACTTTCTACCCACATACTAGAGTTTGAAACTAGGATTCCTTTACTACTCCATTGCCTTTAGATCTTATAATTCTGGAAATGAGAAGCACTGACGGAACAAAATGTTCATTATGAATAAATACCAAGAATATTGAGGTTTCTAGGCAAATGGAATCCTCATAACTTTAAAAACCAACTTCTAAATCAGTTTCTGTTCACACTTAAGTTCTGACATTGCTTGAATATAAGCTCTCATATGCCTTAAGACAGAGTAAGCCATTTGTAAAATATTGAGATGAAATACTTACAACGTGCAGCTGTGTCCAATGCTGACCTTGCTAAGGGAGAAAAAAAAGCCACCTTTATTAAAAAGAATAAGCCTACCAGCAAGTATCCACTTTTTTAAGCAGGTAGAGCTTCTAATAGGCCTATAAAAATGTCTGAATGAGAGTGCTCAGAATACAACAAATAAAATGTGAATATCATATCAGAAAAAGATATTAGTAACTTTACACTATACAATTCATTACAAACATTTATGTAGATGTATCATGGAGGGTCAAGTTTTATTACTGATAGAACATTCTATGTTTTAATCTTTACATTGTGTTTTTAGTTTTAGTTACTACAACTTTAAAGTGCAAACAGCAAGTTACTCTACAAACTTATTTTTAAGTACTGGGTAAATATGATGTTTAAAAGTTGTTACTGCTATTTGGTATTTAGTATATAAGCATATAAAATCCCAGAGAATGTACATAATCCTGTCTTAGTGGAAGCGCATGGCAGTGGTTTTATTTCTTCAAGATATAAATGCATTGGGTATAATAAGAAAAAATTAAGGTTATCACTAAGAGTTTCATAATTTACCAGATCAAGGAAACCAGAAGGTTAAATCTTAACTCCAATCCAATAGATCTTATTCTGGCTATCCATCATAATTACATAGAGAACTTTCTAGAAGCACCAACATCTGATCATAGCTCAGGAAATTAGAACTTAGATCATCAAAGTACTGTGGACAGCCACTTCCTGATTTGGCTAATAAGTATGCAGTGTGATAAATGTCAGCCAGCTGTCTGACTATAAATAGTGACTTAGTTTTTACTTCTATACTATTTTAGATAATTGTGAATTTCCTATAAGCTCAATATTCAAAATGGGGAACAGAAAGTCAAAGCTGAAAGATAGGATCTAAAATAATAAGAATGAAAATGACCATGTAAGTTAAGTGAAGCCTCATTGATTCAAGAGAATACTCAGTAGAATATTGTTCATCATTAAAATCATAGATAATACAAAAATGTGGAAACAGTTTAATGAATGGAATAAAACAAAATAAACTTCACCCACAGCATGACTTTAAATACTAAAAATATTCATGTGATAAAAACAGAGCCTTAAAGGAATCAGAAAAATGTTGGTAAATTAGGGTGCTGGGATTTCTGGAGCTCATTCTTTCAATTTTCTTAAATTATGTCATTTTTTTCCTTTGATTTTAATCAGGAAAAGTAAGATATCTAGGCCAATGTTTACTTTATAAATGAAAAAACTTAAACTAAGGATGTGATAAGCAGCAAAAGGGTAAGAATTCTCAACTTCACTTTGTCCTAAATAAACAGGTGTCTTCCAGGTCAAGTGTTAGGATTCTTTAAAAGGAAGCTCTTTTGAAGTCAGGGATTTAGGGCTGGGCGGTGGCTCAGAGGCATAGCAATTGCCTAGTGTGTTCAGGCCCTGGGTTCAATCCCCCAAACCACAAAACAAACAAAAAACCAGGAATCTAACAAAAATTGGGTCCTAATTAGAATATGATATATTTCATGCTTATATAATTATGTCAAAACGGATTCGACTGTCCAGTATACCTAAAAAGAACCAATAAAACAACAGCAAAAACAAAACAGTMATCTGGTTACCCAACTTATGGTAATAGGTCAGAACAGGGTTAACTTGGCTCATTGATTTGATCACCTATGTTTTAAAGATAAAGGAACTGATGAGTTTACTGATTTTATTTGTTGTAGGTTAAAATAAGTTTTAACTTATTTTAAAATAAGAGCTAGTTTTTAAAACAATCTTTCATCTAATACCCAAACTCATATTGTACCACCTCTGAAAATAGGAATTTCTGAGCTCTTGTTCTTGTGATTATGTACACTAAAATTGCCAGGCCCTGGAAGCCAGGAGAGGGAACCTTTACAGCAATCCTCTGGCTATCTATAGGGTGTAGACTGCACAGACAAGGAGTCAGCAAGGACAGTGCTGAAGCATTCCAGGTAAAGACAGTCACCCAAAAACAGCAAAAGCAGATTCAGAGCAACTAAGAAAACATAGTGACAGGACTTGGGAATGGACCATGCAGGAGAGGAAAAGGGAGGAGTCAAGGATCTAGCTCAGGAGCTGGCTTAAAAAGCATTCATTTATTTATTCATTCATTCTTATGAGCCAATGAACAAAAATACCGTCTCCATACTCAAGTTGTTTATAATTTAGGGATGAGGATGCAGCTCAGTGAAAAGAGTGTTTGCCTAACACAGAGAGGACCTGGGTTCGGAAAATAGTACCACAAAAAGAAGATGCTTATAATCTAATTAGGACATGGGGGGAGGGTGAGGAATCAATGATGAATTCAGTGTTGGATCTGTTAATTTTAAGATATATTATGATATGAACCAATTAGGATATAAGCCTGTTTTATGTGCCCAAATTTTGTTCCTTTTATTGCTGAGTAAAATTTCAACTTATGGACATGCAATGATTTATTCATTTATTTGCCAGTTATTGGCCCTTTTGGTTGCTTATGATGTATGGCTTTCTGACCAGAACTGCTTTGAAAATGCATTGACATGTTCTATGTGGAAATATGTTAGTTTCTCTTAAATAATACCTTAAAGCGGGAATGCTGAGCTTGAATAAAACTGAATTTTTAATTTCACAGAAAGTCACCAAGGCATTTCCAAACTGGCTATACTATTTTATATTTCTGCTAGGTGATATATGGGAATTTCAGTTACTCCATATCCTCACCAACACTTGATATATTCGGAATTTAAAATTTTGTTTTTTCTAGTGTTATAATGATATATCTTACAGAAAGATACACTCACATGGTTTTAGTTTGCATTTCCTTAATCTCTAATTAATTTTCATTCATATATTATCTTTGGGAAAAGCTTATAAAAGCATTCTACATATTTTTAAGTAAAAGGTTTTTTTTTTTTTTGTTTTTTTTCCTCATTAAAAAAAGAAAAGAAGATACTTGGAGAGAATCCAAGTAGAACAGCATGAAGGCTAGCTGTAAACAGGCCTGGGATTAAGATATAAAAGGGAAAATTGGCAAACAGATGAGGTCATCCGGAGAGAGGATTTGAAAAGACACAGGGAGAGTCTCTTATCTTATCAATAAGCAAATATTGATCAGAGCACAGGAACCTTAAAAATGTGGAGTGGCTGAGGAAAGAGAAGCAGAAGGAAAATCAGGGATGGCTCATCAAAGCAGTCAAATTAGTTTGTATATACAATATAAGATGTAAAACCAGTAGCTGCTATTCAATTAAAAAATACTTTACTGGAATATAATTTAAGGAAAATAACTTTGTTAGTCATTAGGTTTTTAATGAAACAACCTGACCTCCATTTAATGTATAAGGGGACAGACAGGATGCTTAAGATGACAAAAATGCTTGTGAAAGAATTTTCTTTCCAGATGAAAGCTCATTTTTATCCACGACTCATCAAAACTAAAAGCTCTCTACCATGCTTGTTCTAAGCATGTTAGCTTCTGGAGCCAAACAGGTAAGTTATTTTTTTGTAAATAAAAGGGTATTGTCCAAGGTAGGTTACAGGCACAATATACAAACACATAAATCCCTGCGCTTAGCAACTTTCATTTCAAACCACCTAACAATTTTACACTTAATTTCTTTCAATACATACAACAGTTCACCTCAAGGAATAATAGCAAACATTTCTGCTTTAGTTATATCAATAAATGTCTTTCAGTAAGTTACTACAGAATCAGGATGACTTAGTTTTAAATAATATTTCAAGTGCAATTTTAAATAATATTTTAGTTTTAAATAATATTTCAACTGCAGGTAAATGGATGGAGTTGGAGAATATCATGCTAAGTGAAGTAAGCCAATCACCCAAAATCAAAGGATGAACTGCTATGTGGACGCTGATCCATAATCGGGGTGTGAGGGGGAACATGGGAAGAATGGAGAAACTTTAAACAGGGCAAAGGGGAGGGAGGGGAAGCGAGGGGGCATGGGGGTTGGAAAGATGGTGGAATGAGATGGTCATCATGCCCTAAGTAAATGTATGAAGAAACAAATAGTGTGACTCTACTTTGTGTACAACCAGAGACATGAAAAATTGTGCTCTATATGTGTACTATGAATTGAAATGCATTCTGCTGTCATGTATGACGATTAAAAAAAAGAAAAAAATATGTATTTACTACTTACCAGTGGTTTAAATATGAAGGGGCATGTGAACTCTATAGAACGTTATTTACTGCAATAATATATGCAAAACTAATTTGAACTGTGTATAGTATATTTACTAGATAAGTGTCTACACTGAAAACTCACACATATTAAGTCAAGATCATGAATTAGACTGATAACTGTATCCATGTTCATATCCTGGCCATGATCATGTTTTACAGTTTCTAGATATTACTAATGGAGGAAAACAATTAAAGAGTATGCAAGATTTCTGAGTATTATTTCTTACAAATGCTTGCAACTCTACAACCCTCTCAAAATAAAATTGTTAGAAGATTGTGGGTTTTGTCTTTGTTTTGCTGAAGTTTGAACGAGGGTTTCGTGTTACTAAGCCAGCATTCTACCACTGAGCTACATCTCCAGTCCAAAAAATTATTGTTTTTTTAAAATCACAATTAGTCTACCTTAGTATTTTCAACTATTAAACTAGTATCAAAATTTTAGTTCTTTCTAGAAATAAGTTTATTTTTTAAAAATAATATTATATAAAAAACTCAAATCAAAATGATGTATAGAAACTATCAAGTAAGTTAGAGAAGTTGGAAAAAAAAAACGGAAAACTCACCAAAAAAGGTGCTTAAGATACAGATTACAGAAACAATCTCAATACTGGGCTAAACTCATTAATCTTTAATAAATGAAGTTACATGCTAAACAAATGACAAAGATAACATATATCCATCTTGGTTCAATAGCCTGAATGAGAATTAAAATTAAACCCCACAAGTTGAATTTTCATCAATTCAACTGACTGAAATCCAATAAGGCTTTTACAGATACAATGTACTACCTCAGTTATGATATTAAAATAAACATCTGCCCTCAGAGTACCTAAATCACACTGGTAAAATACAATAAATTCTTGCAGATTCTTAACGCCAAGAAAAATCAAAATGAAAAGAAGAGACAACTAAGTTAAAGTACTGTGTTTTTCATAACTGTGTTTTTGATCACCAGTGATTGCCCAACTAATGCAGCTCTACATGAATCCCACATGGGAAATATTCTTCCTTCTCACAGAAAAGTCAGAATGCTCAATGTATACATTTATTTTCACTCAATCAACATTATTATCTGCAGGGCCCAGTCCTAGATACTGCATTAGGCAACAAGATATTATTGCCCTCATGATCTAGTCTCTGTTGGGGGAAGACAAGACATATGAAAAAGAAAAAAATTTTTAAAAATTCTATAACGTTAAGACAGAATAAAATGATTAACAAAATAATGTATACTATATGATTAGAACAAACAATTCAAAAAAGGAGCAATAAATTCTAATAAGTAAAGAGGGGGCACTGATGTAAAAGTAAGAAAGATTAACAGACGATGGGGAAAGGAGAAAAGCATGCAGAGTACAGAATCAGCATAAGCAAAGGCTGATATATAGGACAGGCTTCGGTTCTATGTCCTAGCAAGTGAGACACAAGGGGTGGGGAGGAGTGGAGAGCAGGTCAGAAGGCAGGCTGGGGCTTTGACTGTCATCCTGAGCAGAAACTTTGCAGTTTTCCTCCAAGAACTGCAAGTACTAAAGGTTCATGAGTTTTGTGAAAATGACTCTGGCTACAGTATTGAGGCAGGCAGATAGTAAAGACAAGAAAGAGATGCGGAGACATTACTATGTCTATAAAAATAATTCACACTAGAGAGAAAAATCCCAACTAGGGAAGAGGTTTGGGAGGTGTGGGGGTGGGGAGTGGGTGGGGGGGGGGTTTGGGAGTGGGTGGGGGAGGGGGGTGGAGACAGCCATAGCTGGGGAATCACCAATTACATGTGTATGATGATTGTGCCACACTATGGCCACCCAGCCCTCTCTTCACTTCTCTGAAAACAGTGGGCCTTTCCCCAAATGGCCTATTTGTACCATTGGTCCTCTGCCTCCCTTCTCTCAAGGATCCTCCTTTTCTTGTCTTTTCAATGTCTTTTCACTGATTTGTCATTCACCCAATTTTCGCTCAAAGCCTATAGATATGTGAAAGTTGTTTACTTAAAAAAGAAAAAAAAAGGCACATGCAACTCGCTTCCACATCAAGCTACCATCCCATCATCATCTTCCTATACCATCAACATTTTTAGCAAAGTTGGTTACACACTGCCTCTGGAGCAACAATCAACAAGTCCTCAGAGCCTTCAATGTTGTTCCTGCCCTTCATTTGACTGAAAGCACTGTGCTCTCGAAGATCACAAGCAAAAAAAAGACTCAAATACTTTGTAATAACCACTTGAAGCAGGATCCTGGGTACTTCATTTTCAGATAAATGCCAACTGTTGTAAACAGGTTCAGGAAGAAAATGATCAGTATATTAAAAAGAAATGACTGAAAGGGAGGATTCCATTACTTGAAAAGATGAAAATGTGTAAGAAGGAGGTCTGAAGAACCAGGAGTGCAATTTAACTGTCTGAGAGATCAAAGATAGAGGAGAACTCCAGCAGACAGAAGTAAGGACAGGGTATTGAAATTACCTGGGAGGACAAAAGGCAGAATTCAGTGAATACAAAGAAGCACTTGTAAGTAGTCATGGTAAGAAAATGTTTGCACAGACATTGAGGAGTACATGTCAGAACTGTCTTCAGCTTGGATACTCAGTATGTGGTCCATGAACAAGAATCCGAGCGTCATCTGGCAGCTTGTTAGAAATGCAGAATCTCAGGCCAYATCCCAGATACTGATCAGTATTTTCTGGAAGTTCTTTTGACATGAAAGCTTGATAAGTACTGGCATAGAGAATCTTAGATTAGATGCAAGAGAGTCTTTGGACCCCTTTCAATTTATGTAAAGCAAAAATCACTAGTCCAGAGATCTCACAGTGGTTCTCATTCAATTCTCCCTAATAGACCAAAATACTGTTTGTAGGTTTCACTGTCTCATTTTCCATGCTTAATTTTTTAATATCTTAAACACCACCACAGCCAAAGCTTAGTCAATATAAGTATAAGGATCTACAAAGGGTATAAACAGCTTCTCTAACTTCAAATGATAAAGACCTGTGGTCTCCAGAAAAGGTTCCAGAATTAATTTTATATAAGGCCATAGTTAAACATAAATAATGACTTCCCACTTAAATATGTAAGCATTAAGCTCCATTCTTTAATCTCATAATAAAATATTTACAAAACAGAAACACATTTGGTACTTAGTTCAATAAGATATGAAATATATAAATAAAATACTATGAAATAAAACTGGTTCCTGAGCAAACATTTCAAATTTCTTTCAAAAACTTAAGGATTTTGTTAAAAACTGGATTAAGGTACCTTTTGCTGATTACATTTACAATATAGAAACATTAAATGAATGAGTAAAAGAAAACACCACATAAGGAAAAATAAGGGTAGGAAAGCAGGACAAGTTTTATGACCCACACCTAAAATGCATTAATACGGCTCATAATCACTCAGTAACTGAGGGCGAAATTTGGGTCCAAGTTTTCTAGCAGCCAACTCAAACAGAAACAATCTAAGCTTAGGGATGTTATTTATCTTCTAAAATATACATTCAGCAGCCATGATTAATGCCTGAAAGCATGCATAAAATAAGCTTATTAAATATGTTCAAAATGTTGAAGATTCATGCTTCATATTGAATTAATTCTAAGACCTATTATGTATTTTAGAATATGTTACTGAATCACATTTACTGATAAAATAATTCCTTTCCTAGATACAATAATTACTTTCCTAGATACACTCAACAGCAGTAACTTAATATTGAAAACTGATAAAACTTCTGCTACCCATATCAAAAATTTGGTTTAAGAAAGGAAAGAAACAAAACTTACCAAAGAGATTTCCTAAACTTGTATCCATTTTTATTTCAAATACTTGAGATATAACATAAAATGTCAGTAAAAACACTGCCACGGCTACTATCAACTTTGCAGCACCTAGACAAAAGGCAGAAATGATCAGCATGAGTTGATGAACCCACAAAACTTTTGTTATACATTTCTTTTTTTTTTTTTCTTTTTAAAGAGAGAGAGAGAGAGAGAATTTTTTAATATTTGTTTTTTAGTTCTCGGCGGACACAACATCTTTGTTGGTATGTGGTGCTGAGGATTGAACCCGGGCCGCACGCATGCCAGGCAAGCACGCTACCGCTTGAGCCACATCCCCAGCCCCTGTTATACATTTCTATGAAAAATGTAAGTTTCTTAAAAAAATTTTAAACTAATAAGCTTCTACTTTTTATCTACTAAATTTTAATTTTACTTGAGTTACAATAAAAGTTGTACTAACAATCCCATCAAGATAAAAAATGTTCCTGATCAAAGAATTCTTGAATTAGTTATCAATCCCAAAATAGGATTGGTTGAACAATCTGCCTAGTTTTATGTGAAGAAAAATTAAATATCTGTCATTAGTTTCAGGTTGACTATGCAACTGTCACAGCTAATGGAACCCACCAACCAACACCAAGTTTGTTGAATGCTGTACTACCAATCCTTTTCAAATATAAAGGACAATGCTATACAGGGATGTTACCAAAACACTAAACCTTTTAGAGATTGCAGGGCCTGGAGAATATCCACTAAACAAGCAGTTCTCAAGTAAAACATGACAGGCTTATTGTCCTGTCACCAACATACATGTCCTGGAGCTACACAAACCCTTGTGACAAACATCAAAATCTTCCTCCCCATTCTCAATACCTAGTTTAGGAAGGCTGTCTGCACTCCTGGAGGAATAAGTTGACATCTATCCCGATGTTTCATAACATGGCTACTTGGTGAGCTCCACAAGGGCAGACTCCTTGACTTTCATACCTCTGTATTTTCAATTATGTCAGAATATCTTACAAAGAGTCACTATTGACATTTCTACTTAATAAGACCCATCTTTTGTCCTTTTTCTTCACAGCTAACCAAATGTAGGGAAGAAAAGGACAAAAGTGCAAGACAGAAAAGGAAACTGAAAAGGACAACTAAGAAATATCTTCCTTGGGCTGGGGATGTGGCTCGACTGGCATGAGTGCGGCCCGGGTTCGATCCTCAGCACCACATACAAACAACGATGTTGTGTCTGCCGAAAACTAAAAAATAAATATTAAAATTCTCTATCTCTCTCTGCATGTCTGTCTGTCTCTCTCTCTCTCTCAAAAAAAAAAAAAAGAAAAGAAAAGAAAAAGAAATATCTTCCTCTTAAACTAAGTATTTCAGAGACATGTGCTTATTTAGGAACAAAAATAATGTGTATCCATACATTCCCTGTTCCCCTCTCTTAATAATGGTTTCATTTGCAGTGATATAACAGAAGTAGATAGGATCAGCAGTCATCTCACTATTCTTAAAGGAAAAAAATGCCTAGAGGTGAATGCCCAAGATAACAGATAAATTAGTGCCATCATAGAACCAGAATCCAAGGATCCTAATAAAGACTGGTGGTTTATACAGTACTCTCTTCTAAAACCAAATTACCAATTCTTCTTCTAAAAAAAAAAAAAAAGAGCTGAAAGTATTAGATAAGGAAGAAATAATTTTTTTTTCATTTTAAAAAGAATAAACTGCAGTTTTGGGGAAAGGGAAAGGAATGAACTGATGACTGAAGATGCTTGAAAATGCTGATTATGCTGAGAAGCAGTAGGAACTAAATTGCTGCTATGAAACACTATGAATGGCTAGGACTATGTTGGGACAGTGAGTAAATGGAAAATATTTATACCTTCCTCTCAATTTTTTCTGTGAACCTAAAACTGCTCTGAAAAATAAAGTTCAAAAAACAAAAAAGAAGAAACTTTCCATTAACATAACAATGAAGTGGCAAAGAGAAGCCACTCCTCTAAATCAGTCCCTGCCTCCCTCCTCGATTTCCTACATTTTTAGTGCATGAGCGAGCAAAATTCCATTGGGCTTTCAACTCTTCCCCACAGGATCAAGCCAAGTGCCTCATACATATTAATACTCTCAACAACTGTTTGCAAAATAGATGAACGATAACAGGTGGCATATTGTTTCTTGATCATTTAAGACTAAGACCAATGGCTTGAGGATTACATAATCACATGATAGTCTTACCATTTTATTTTCTAGCAATCATGGGCATACAAGCAGAGATAACTCTTCCCTATCTGTCCTATAAAGCAGATATGTGATAGTTTAATTGTTTAAAACTGAAATGATAATGCTTCCATTTTCCAAACCAGGAAAATGAGGCTAAAATTTTAGATTATTTGTCTAAGTCAGTGGTAGCCTTGAGTCTTAAGCCAAAACCTACTTGTTATGCTGGATCATTAGGGGAACTAAGAAGAAACAAAAGCTCCGAGGGAGAGAAAAGTTAGGATAGGGTTGTGGAACTTCTATTACAGAAGGTCTCCTCTATATCTGGCCTCTGTCCAGGACCAGCATCTAGTCCTGGACATGGAGGGGCCCAACCATATCATACCATGATTCCCATTCTTAATTTTCTAGGCAAGTCCCTCTTGCTTCTAGCCATGGACTACACTAGTTGTATATTCCTATTTTTCACAAACCAAAAAGCATAAATTTCAGATGTAAGAATAATGACTATATGGGTATTTCAAAACAATCAGATATTTCTTAAAATAAGAAGAGATTAATTAGTTAGAAGTAATGAAGTAACAGATGATTCATTAAAGACAGTTCCCTTAAGACCTTTACTAGGAAAGGTGCCAAACATAAAATAAGCACTCAGTGAGTAATTACTCATCAATTAACTTGGGCATTAATTGTCAGAATCAGAAAAATGGCCTACATTACAAAGTTAGTTTCAACTAGAATGAATTCAAAATTATGTGAAGAGAAACTTGCTTTATTTCAAATCCCTATGCTTCAGCAATAAACTTTAAAATCATATGCAGACATAATCATCAATCATCATATAGTCCTGCTGTGCTATAGATCATTAAAAACATAAAAAGGGCTAGGCATGGCAGCACATGCCTGTAATCCCAGCAGCTTCAGGGGCCGAGGCAGGAGGAGCTCAAGTTCAAAGCCAGCTTCAGCAACTTACTGTAAGCAATCTAGTGAGACCCTGTCTTAAAAAAAATTACTTAATTAAAAGGGCTGGGGGATGTGGCTCAGTGGTTAAGTGCCCTTGGGTTCAATAACTGGTACCAAAAAAAAAAAAAAAAAAACCAAAGGCACTGCAACATGTTTTTTGGTTTTTTTTGAAACCACAAGCAAGCTCTTGGTTCCCAGGAATATCATTCAACAACTGTACAACTACTTAAAAAAAGGGATACTAATTTCATGGAACAGTGATCCAGGTTTTCAAATTTCCACAAAAGCATTTGTAACAACCTCCAGTTATCCTTTCTTTAATAATCATGTCCTTTGTTTAATAATCACGAAGCTTAACCAATTGTGCCTATTTCTATACAATTTTGACCAAAGTACGAAGACTGGTTTGTTAATTAATCCACTTTGACTTTAGGCACTTTTTTTTTTTTTTAAAGAGATGCTGCTGGGAAAACTATTTGGTTTGCTGGTGAGAAGATGACAAATAAGACTGATTACCTTGAGAAATTACAATTTATCTCCTACGTTGGGTATACATTTAATAGAAATGCCTTTGTAGAATGTACACTGTCTTTGATGAAGGACAGGTGGGGAAATCACTTCCTCTTTATAGGTAGCAAGAGTCCATTCAGGTGTATGGATATGCCTTCTTATGTTTAAAGATAGCTAGCTTAATACTATAAACATCTAGTGATGTTTCTCAATTTCTTTAAGATGATCCTTCAGGAACAGATTAATGTTCTTACATCATGTAACCTCACTTATGCCAACTGAACTTGAATTAACAAATACTGAGTAAAAACATGTATTTCATTGAATCCTTTACCTACATTAGTTTTAATTTTACTTAGGAGAGATTTAAACTTTGAAACTTTAGAACTCATTTTTCTCAATAGGCTAAAACTTTAGCAAAATAAAAATCAGCCTCCTAACATGGTAAAAATCACTCTTTATATGGACATTTTATATATAATATTAGGCAAACAAGCTTAATATATAAGAAATATTAAAACCATACTTAAAATATTTAGCATTATTTCAACAAAATGTTTATTTATAAAAACATATGTAATGTTCACTAAATGTATAATTTATAATTTGCTTACTACCTAAAAGATTAGGCTAAATAATGTTAGTTAACTTTAGCTTTATACTCAATATAAAACAAAGAAGCATTATTTACTGTCATTTTTAGTCATTACTAAACAAAGAGGTTACACAAATGGCAAAATTACACTAAATTAAATATCTTACCTGCTACCCTCATGTTTAGTTTTCAGTCTATGAAACTTTTCATTAAATATGCTCCTAAAATCAAAAGAAAAGAAAAACAGCATTAATTCTAGAATATTCTTTTTTAGATTGAATTTGGAGTATACACATAGAACTAATTAAGTAAATGTCATGACACTTCTAAGTATTCTACCCACATTAATATTTAATGAAAAAACTCTTATCACCAGTCTGTCTCCTTTCACTGGACCATAAAATCCCAAGAGAGTGGTCTGTACCCTCAAACCCCCTCACAAATGAAAAATGGACAAATGAGAAAACCTGCCATTAGGCTGTGACTAGAAGACAATGTTTTATTATTCTCAGTGATTATGCATTCATAAGAAATTTATTTAGTTCAAAACTTGGGTTTGCAGACAAGGTTCAAAGAGGATAAGCTGCTTACTCCAGTCATTAACAAATTATATGCAGAAATGAGGTAAGAGTTTAGGTTGGCCAGCTCATTCCATGCTACATGCTATATGCTACATGTTGCTGCTACTGCTACTGCTACTACTACTATTACTACTACTACTACTACTAATTCTTTTTCTTCTTTTCCTCCTTCTCCTTCTTCTTCTTTTTTTAAATATTGGGATTGAACAGAGTCCACCACATACTAGACAAAAGCTCTACCACTGAGCTACATCCCAAGCCCTTTTTAAGAGGGTCTCAATATTGCCTAAACTGGCCTCAAACTTACAATCCTCCTGCCTCAGCCTCCCAAAGAGCTCAGATTACAGGCATGTGCCACCATGCCCAGCTGCCACTTCATTTTTGATTTCACATAATTCAGCTGTCACTATGTTAAGCATTCATGGCAAAGTCTTAGTTTAATACCAGGGTTCTCTTCATGGTTTTTAATTTACATATGCAAAATAATATATTTGGAAGTACAGAAGTATAATTTTAAACATTCCAGCAATTATTATTGACAGAATACATATCAAGTTTTAAAAAACCTGTTTTTTGATATTATTTTACCATACACAAGAAACAGATACTATAAAATGTGTGTGTGTTGTGTGTGTGTGTGTGTGTGTATGTGTACCTCCTAAGAAACAACTCAACATAGGTAAACTTAAAAATTAAAAGTGGAAAAGCAAATGAGTTTAATAGGAAAGCCACATCCATGTTGAGCTGGAAAATTTCCAGTCAACAATCTATTGTAAAGGAAAGGACTTCAAAGGGAAGTTGTGATTAATTAATAGCATAAATCAGAAAYAAATTTTATTTTATGTTTTGATACTTAAGTTTCCATATTGATCTTTGATCTATAAYGATCTACCCTTAAGGACACTGAAAGAAAGTGAGACATCCAGTTTTCCCAAAAAAGCAGGTGGCTGGGGAAGGGTAAACAGCACCCAAAGATGCATGCTCCATCCTGGCTCCTTTTCTTCTGTACAATCTACCCTGAAGCAAAAAATCAACACTTAAACTGACTTGTTCATTGATTTCTTTTCCTTTGTTAGTTATAGTAATACCTACAACATAGYAAAAAAAGTCAATGTTACATATCTATTTAAACTACTTAGCCACAGGCCAGGAAAACTGAAACCAAAGTATCCACAAACAATCACATCACATAAAATAAAAAATAAAAAAAGTTGGCTTTTCAAATGAAAATCCCAACAGGTTATAAATTCTCTTTTGGCTTCCAGCAAAATTGAATTCTGCTTTCACTACACATAAGGCTTTCCTCCCAGTCAATATTTCAAATAACTTCACTCTTATCTGAGTGTGGTCTCAGAAAACTTCTTTTGAAAATGCGATAAGCAGTTGGGCACCAGACACCTGCTGTTCTATTTCAGTTTCCATTACCTGCTGAGGCTGCACCTGTATAATTACAGTCACTGCCTCCTATACCTGCCACCTGTTTGTACCTCCCAATAAGCCTGCTTCTAAATTTATCACTACTAAGACCACATTGTAAGCAACTACAATTGTCTAGCTGAATACAATTGTTTTATACTAAAATTGCTCAAAGAATTAAGTTAGTAAGATCTYTAAATTAAAATTGCATTAAATTAAGGCTTTAGTTATAACACATCTTTGTTTAATTAATGATGCAAAACTGTAAATCAGAAAAAGGAGTAATGAATATATCTGAGAGTAAATCACGGAGCATGTTTATGATGCTACTTCCAAATAATTCCTGATTTATATTCTTATGATAGCACTGAATACAAAACAAAATATTTATATGTAACATTCTCAGAGGGGAACAAAAGAAAAAATTAATGGAAATCTCAGGCTATAAACCACACAAACAATCAAGTGAGGATCAAGGAAAAGAAATCCAATGAAAACAAACACAACAGTACCAGAATAAAAAAAGACCTCTACTAGAAATTCGGAACTCTATCTAGATGCAACAAGTAAAAGGTTTACCATTTTTCTTACATAGTTATTAAAAGATGGAATTACAGAAACTAGTACCAGGTACCAAAACCATAGTAATTATGCAGTGGGAGTGTATTCTTATGACAGATTAAAATTAAATAAATTAAGCACCAGGCACAGTGGCACATACCTGTAATTCCAGCAACTGAGGAGGCTGAGACAGGAAGATTACAAGTTAGAGACCAGCCTCAGCAATATAGTGAGACCCTATCTCACAATTAATACAAAGGGCTGGGGATACAGCACGGTGGTAGCATACCCCTGGGTTCAATCCCTGGTACTGCATAATAATTATTATTATTGTTAACTAATTAAAAACCTCAATATATTTATGAAATAAAATTGCTCCAAAAAGTACAAATGTAGGCCAAAACAAGTTTCAGTGTTTAGACAATAAATCAGGTTTCTAAATATAAAGTGCATAACTATCTAAAAGTCAAAAGCAAGGAGGGCCCCCATCATGCCTTTGTGTGATGAAACACTAAACAAATACCAAGTATGGGACCTATACTGAAGAGAGCCTAAGCTAGGACCTCAGAGTGACATACTGATTTCTCTGAATGTTTAATAATAGGAAAACATTCCTTTAACTCAAGAGTCTACTCTGGTCCAAATGAATAAAGTTCTTTTACTCAAGTAAAACTAAGACTACCATGTGGAAAAGGAGGCATTGTCTTAGAATCCATTAACTTAAGAAACAGCAGAAATAAAAGCACAGATCAAGTGTCTGTGTTTTCCAGTCTTTCCTTCAGAAGTAGATTCTGTATCAGGAAAACTATAAGAACACCATTCTATACACAAAATAAGCCATGAAAACAATTACCAAGAGAGGGATATCTTGACAGTTAACATAAGCCCAGGCATTGCATGCATTCAGTGGTGCAATTCACACACATTCTTATATTATATAACCTCCCTACCAGCCCTCTAGCTGTAGTGGGTATTTTACAGGCATTATGGATGAGGTCAAGGGATTTGCATAAAGTCCTATGAAGGGTAAGGAAGAAGCTCACAAATAAATCCACGAGGTCTGATGACAAAATGCGATGCCAATCAAATTGTTCTGAAAATTTCTGATCTCTGATGCAAAGCAGCCTCTCCAGAGATTATTTAGTTTGTCAAAATGACTAAGCTTATGTGTTAGAGCCCTCCCACTTCAAAAATGATACAAGAAAATGAAGGGTACAAATATGCTCATTAGAAAACAAACTAGAAGGAAATACTATAGCTATACTCCATTCATATGAAGAAACAACCATTCAGTTCAATTCAACTTCAATTTGGTGCTAGCCAAATGACACTTTCAACTGAACCAACTAAGTTCAGATGATTCTAACATCCACACAGACTGGGGCTTTTTAAGAGAACTACCAAAAAAAAAAGGGGGGGGGCAAAAGGGCAAAAAGATAGATATAAAGTTTATTTAGGTCCTATGTCAATTTTATGTGTCAACTTGACTGGGCCACAAGTTACCCATATATTTAGACATTATTCTGGATGTGTCCATAAAAGATTATTTTTGGATAACGTAGACTGAGTAGACTGTCCTCCTCAATGGGGTGGGTTTTATCCAATCCACTGAAGATCTGAATAGAACAAGAGCTGAATAAAGGAGTATGATATTATAATAAGTATTTTGATTTTCATCCATTATTCATGGCTTATAACTCCCTTCCCAAGGTAAGTCATTCCCTTCCCAAGGTAGGTCATTCTCTTCCACAAGGAAGTCGCTGAAACCCTAATTGCTACCTACCTTTCTATACTGGAGCTGGGCAAAAAGAAACTGACCAGTTCTCATCTATTAGCAGGTTATGAGATGTTCCTAATAATAAATCCCCAAGTTTTGAGGTGATGGTCTTTTGTGCTTTGCCGTGACAGTACAGGGAAAAACTGATTTTCCTAACAAAAGGAGAATTCACACTCTGTCTCTTTAAGCTGGGAGAAAGCCTTTGGCTGTGGACTGGAACCAAACAGTCAACTCTATTTGGTTGCTAGCCTGCCAACTATAGATACCAGACTTCATTGCCTTTAGAACTGTCAGCCAAATCCTTATAATAATTTATTACACACATAACAAATTATATATCTACAGATAGTTTATTGTAAGGAATATGTATCTACATATTTATACTTATTACCTATATATCACCTATTGGCTATTTATTGAGAAAACCAGACTAATAAAGACCCCCTTGAGTTTGGAAGATAAAAAGTTAAATTTCATCTCCAGAGCATTAAAGTAGAAGAGTAAAATGAGATAATGCTGAAACCAAAAGAATGCTAAAACTAGAAGAGACACTAGGGTAAGTTACTTTGTTATATTTACAAACAACAATAAGACATTAATAAGAACTATGGGCAGCTGGATGTGATGACACATGCTTGTAATCCCAGTGACTCTGGAGGCTGAGGCAGGAGGATCATGAGTTCAAAGCCAGCCTCAGCAAAGGTGAGGCGCTAAGCAACTCAGTGATATCCTGTCTCTAAATAAAATACAAAATAGGGCTGGGGATGTGGCTCAGTGGTTCAAAAACCTACTTGCAATAAATAACTGCATTTCTGTAAATAAACAGGGCAAATGTTGGAAATTTTTTTTCTGTAAGAGGGCCGGATAGTAGATATTGTTAAGCTTT